AAACTAGATCCAAGCAATTAGGGTTGCATGAACACCATAGGATTGATGTTATGCTCAAAACCCATCAAACTCCTCATATGATTAGGCTATAAGTCATTTGGTAACACTTTGTTTAATCTTATTATTATTTTATGTTTCAAGATTATTGTAATTTATTGCTTGATATGCACATGATCACAAAAACAACATAGATTACCTTATAAACCTATTTAGTGTGTCAAAAAGTAGTTGATAAGCTAACTTATAAATTAACTATTTAAAAAGCTACTTAGAATAATTTTTCAAAAGCTTTTTAAACATTTTCGAATATATTTTAATTAATTATCAAACAAATATTTTTCTAAATATCATTTTATATATACTTTAACTATCTTATCAACTAGTTTTTACTAAACATTATTTTTCATTATATTTTTTTCATCAACTAGTTTATAAATTAATAGCTATCTTTTTCGGTTAAACTATAAAAATAGAAATAAACTGTAACTAATTTTTTAAAAAGCTAGTTACCAAACGCAACCCAATAAAAATAGAAATAAACCGTAACTAGCTTTTTAATAAGCTAATACCAAAATGTGGTCATTTTAGTTAGCAGCATAGAAGTTAGTATTCTAGTAATTAACTCTTTGCTTAATCTATAAAAAATTCAAAACACAACCATCAACCCAAGTCCCCTGATTTGACCCAATCGATACACCAGGCCTAAACTCCCCTGGATGTAAACGCGGAAAAGTCAATTGATCCAAGAACAACCATCAACCCAAGTCCCAAGAGTAAACAAAATCCTCTAAGTTTTGGTTCAATCAACTGCAAAAATGGAGTTGCAGCAGTCAGAGTATTCTCGTTGATCGCTTATGTTGCAATGGAAAGACATAAAAAGCAAGGCAAGAAGATGGTAGAAGAGGAGGAATCGCTGAGATTGAGTACAAGTAAGGGGAACGGGGGATTAAGTTCCATGGATTCAATTGAATCCTACCGGTGGGTGTTTCAAGACGAGGATGATTCGGTGGTCGATGATGATGGAGACGACGATTTGCCGTTACGGAATGGCATGGATTCGGAGGATGAAGATAATGCTGACCACAAGTTGATTCGGACTGGGCCGCAGATTGATTCATTGGATGTAGAAACTCTTGAGGTCTCAGGTGGTCAGAGGAATGATCTGGAGGTATGTTTATGGATTTCAAACTGTAGTGGTTTCGATCTTAGCTATTCCAACTAATCTTCGTTCTTATACTCCAACCGCTTGATTGGTATAACTTTGTTACTTTATTGAGAGGAACTTGTTAACTATAGTTGTTGTACTACAGTCGCAAACTTTAGCAGAAATTGGAAAATGTTGGCCTTACCTTAATATTCAAACCATATCTTGTTAGAATGGAGTGTGTAGGTATATCTCATATCCAATGATAAATATATTCAAGTGGTTTGGATGTAATGAATGCAATTGCTTTATGTTGAAGTTAAAGTGAAGTAAATCAAATAAAGTTTCCATAAGTAGCTGCTTTAAGACGTGAATGAACATACAAAACCCCTCTAGTATACCTGTAGTGCATTTATAGCTTAACTCATGCTCCTGAGACAAAGGTATAACCGTGTATAAGTTATGTGCAGTTGTCCAAGCATTCATATTTTTGGTAGAAGGGATAGTTGTATTCATTTGAAGAACTGCCAAATTAGTCAGGGGGTTTGGAGGAATCAGAACCTTTACATTAAATCAATGATGCAAATTGCAAAATACTTGTGTAGGTTTAGCTTCTAGGCTTCTAGCAATTATTAATCACTTCACCATGTTTGATTTTCTTGATGTTTATCTTCTGCATACCAAGAATAAGTTGAGATAAGAGGATAACTCAAGCTGACTTCAAAGCACTTTATCTCTTTTACTTGTTTTGTTTCATCATATTAGTGATCAATTGACCATCTCCTAATAGATTAAGGAATACTCAAGATTCTTATAGCATCATTACAGGACTAAGTTTTTGATCAATTTAAGCAGACAAATTGTAAAGGTTGTATTTAATTAACTTTCAAATATTCAGATTGCTATAATATGTTGGATTGGTACTCAGTTATCAAGAATATAAATTATTTTCTTTGATGGGCTATAGAAAACCATTCTATATGAAATCTGCAATTATTAAAAGGTTAATAACAAACCATGATGATCAGTCTCTGTGACTCTAAATCCTTAAATTGTATTTGCAGGATGTTACTTTTAGAAAGAGTGTTAAGCTGGCTTTTCAAACACTCGGGGTTGTTTTTGGGGATGTTGGAACAAGTCCACTGTATACTTTCAGTGTAATGTTCAGCAAGGCTCCAATAGAGGGAAATGAAGACATTATTGGAGCATTGTCCCTTGTTATATATAGCCTAATTTTGATCCCACTAATCAAGTATGTCCTCATTGTTCTNGATGGTGAAGGTAAGTTTTATAGACTAAATGAAAGAAATAGCAATGTACTTTGATATATATATATATATATATATATATATATATATATATATATATTTGTATTATAGCATGGAATTTTCATGTATGTTGCAGGTGGAACATTTGCATTATACTCACTTATATGTAGGCATGCTAAGGTGAGTCTACTCCCAAATCAGCCTGCTTCTGATACACGCATATCAAGCTTCAAGCTTAAGGTTCCATCTGCAGAACTTGAGAGATCATTGAGAATAAAGGAACGCCTTGAAGCTTCATTGGGACTTAAAAAGCTTCTTTTAATGTTGGTCCTTGCTGGCACTTCCATGGTCATAGCTGATGGGGTTGTTACCCCTGCAATGTCAGGTTTTTTTACAATTTTTCTTTTCTCTTTCAAAGATCTTGATACTTAATCTTTTTCAAGAAATGTTTTTGAATTTTAATCTTCTGTTTCAAAGATTCTGATACTTAAATCTTTGTTGAATTTTAATTGTTGGTATTAATTTTCGTTGTGCAGTAATGTCTGCAGTTCGTGGTTTAAAGGTTGGAGTTCCTTTGTTTGAGGAAGGTAATATGATACTACTACTATTACTTATGGTCCCAATAATAAAGAGCTAAAAAGGATTTCGGTAGTGTTTGGTATGCGATAATTGAAGAGGGAATGGAATGGAGCATTGAGTTGGAATGAAAAAACATGTTTGTTTGCCACAAGGGAATGGAATGGAGCATTCCCTCATGGAATGCAATTCCTTCTCCTTGGCTGATTCTCATTCCATGGGGGAGGTTTTTTTTTTCATTACTTGAATGAATGGAATGATATATTAGAATTACAAGTTGTTTTTATTTATATAATCGTCAACAATACTGATATTTTCAAAATTCAAAATTTCAATTAAATTGTTTTTTTTTTTTCCAAAAATATATAAGATTTCTGTATTTAGTTTTTTATATTTGCAAACATTTTTGTTTACATGATAAATATTTTTTTTCACTATTTGAAATACACATAGTACACATCTTAAACAGCATGAAGTATGTTTATATGCAACTTTATTTACCGATATATCTTTATTTGATTTAAGTTTATTATTTATAATTTATAAAACATGTTTGAATGACTCATTCCATTTCTTCAAGCCAACCAAACATGGCAATAGAATGTATGATCGATTCCATTACCTTGCTCATTCCATTACTTTGTTCATTCCATCCTTTGTGATTCCATTCCATCATACCAAACGTATCCTTGGCTATTGGTAATGTTATATTTTGAGCAGGATATTATGAAATCCTTTTGATTTGTTTTATTGTTTTGACTTTTGACTCTACTGCAGATCATGTGGTGATGATTTCAGTTGCATATCTTATTATTTTGTTCAGTGTACAAAAATTTGGAACAAGTAAGATTGGGCTTGCTATTGGGCCAGCCCTATTTGTATGGTTTTGCTCTCTTGGGGGCATTGGCATTTACAACCTTGTGAAATATGACAGCAGTGTCTTGAAGGCATTTAATCCTCTTCACATCTATTACTATTTCAAAAGGGACTCAACCAAAGCTTGGTACTCTCTAGGTGGATGCCTACTCTGTGCAACTGGTAAATCCTTATATACTCATTAATAGCAATCTACTTGTACCATATAAAATACAACATTTTTTCATTTTTTTTTTCTGGTTGTGTGCTTTAGGTTCAGAAGCAATGTTTGCAGATCTTTGCTACTTTTCTGTGACAGCTATCCAGGTAAGGCAGGCTGCAACATATTGGAATTATTAAGAGAGTTTTTTTTTTTTTTTTTTTTTTTAATATGATAAATAGTTGTGTAATTTTACATATTTTGTTATGTGGGTATATAATATTGTATATTGAATCTTAATATTTTACAGCTTATTTTTGCTTTCCTTGTACTTCCATGCCTTATGTTGGGTTACTTGGGTCAAGCTGCCTACCTGATGGATAACAACAGTGATGCACAACAGCCTTTCTTTTCTTCTATCCCATGTGAGCCTACTTTCTCTATTAACTTCTTCTTTCTGGCATTAAGGGGAGGTTTCTTTTTTTTTTTTCTTTTCCCTCTCAGTAAGTCCTGTATAGATAAAGTGACTAAATGGATAGTGATGTATGTTTAGATTTTAGATAAAGTATTATATACATAAAGACTGATTATTTTTTGGACTGAATGAACTTTCCAAATATAAGTAAATGACCATTATTTGAACCTTTTGCATAAAATTGACGGTAAATAACACATGGCTAGTATTTAAGACTCTTATAAATCACAGTTATTTTATAAATAATAACACAAATCTAATTATATTTAGTCACAATATGATTAATGTAAATCTTTTAATCATAATTTATCATCAAATCAAATTACTCATAATTCATAAGTATACCCATATATTTAATGTTCATTGAATTGAAAAAAAAAAAAAATCCATAAATTTGTAGTTGAATGAGTTAACTTTTTATGTATTCTGCTATAATTTTTTAATGCTTTTGCAATATATAGATTAAAAAAATTATAATTTTATATATATATATATATATATATATATATATATATATATATATATTATGATTCATGCAATCATGTAAAAATGTTTTATAAACTTATAAGCGAGTTCAAAAGTATCAACTCATAACAAAGTAGAAATAATAACTTTTATATGCTTATAAATGCATAAAGAAGTGTATAATTATATCTATGTACTATGTAGAAATAATTATTAAAAAACCACAAAGGAAGAGAAGTTGGTAGTTGGTAGGAATAAAGAAAGGTGAATAGATAAAGGGTTAATGTCTTGATACATTAATCCAGGTTAAGTGGTGTCGAGATTAAGCTCATTAAGTCAAAAAGACAGTCTCTAAGTTAAAATGAATATATAGGTTATCAGATTAAGTAATTAAGTGATGTGTGTCTGTATGTGTATGGCTTATTGGCTTATTCTTGGTGTGTATTTTTGTGTTGTGGTTGCAGATGGTAGTTTCTGGCCAGTGTTCCTGATTGCTAATATTGCTGCATTGATTGCTTGTAGAACAATGACAACAGCAACTTTCTCATGTGTCAAACAGTCAATAGGCCTTGGTTGTTTTCCTCGCCTCAAAATCATCCACACTTCTCGCAAATTCATGGGCCAGATTTACATTCCAGTTATCAACTGGTTTCTCTTGGCTGCTGCCCTTCTTCTTGTCACTTTCATTGCAAGCACTGATGAGATTGGAAATGCATATGGTATATTTATCTTCAAAAAAATTTCACATCTCTCTTTAATTAATATAAATTTTATAATTATAAATAAATAATACAGGAGTTGCTGAGATTGGAGTGATGATGATGACCACTGTCTTGGTAATCCTTGTAATGCTTCTCATATGGCAGATCAACATCATTCTGGCCATGTCCTTTTCCGTCATTTTCCTTGGTTTGGAGTTTGTATTCTTGTCATCTGTTTTATGGGGCATCAGAGATGGAAGCTGGCTCATACTGGTGTTTGCTATGATCGTATTTTTCATAATGTATATATGGAATTATGGTAGCAAGCTGAAACACGAAACAGAAATGAAGAAAAAAATGTCAATGGATGTAATGCGTCAGTTGGGTAGTAACCTTGGAACTGTGAGAGCTCCTGGAATTGGATTGCTTTACAATGAGCTGGCAAATGGCATACCTACTATATTTGGACAGTTTCTTGCCACTCTGCCAGCTGTCCATTCCATGATTATCTTTGTCTGCATAAAATATGTCCCTGTTCCTTCTGTCCCTCCTACTGAGAGATTTCTTTTTCGCCGTGTCTGCCCTAAAAGCTACCACATTTTTCGTTGCATTGCCAGGTCAGCATCTTTCATTCAACCTTGTTGCATTGCCAGGTCAGCATCTATCTAACATGTACCCAATTATAAATATTTTGACAGATATGGGTACAAGGACATTCACAGAGAGAATCACCAGATATTCGAGCAGCTACTGATCGAAAGCCTGGAGAAGTTCATTCGGCGGGAAGCAAAGGAACGGTCATTGGAAAGTGACGGGGATGACGATTCCGATTCCGGTTCCAATTCCGATTCCGAGTCTAAACGGGTTCTCATTGATACAAATGGGAGTTTGTATTCACTAGGCGCCCCTCTCTTGTCCAAAAACCGAAACAAGGCCAAAACCATCACCGTAATCACGGAAGCAAGCACTTCGCGGCCACGTGAACCGGAAGCGGAAACGGAAAAGGATTCCGGTAGCAATTCCAATTCCGTTCAGGACAAGAGTCTAGAGAACGAGCTTGCGGTTTTACGTATGGCTAAGGAATCAGGGATAGTTTATCTTCTGGGGCATGTATCGATTAGGGCACGAAAAGATTCCTGGTTCATTAAGAAATTGGCCATAAATTATTTTTATGCTTTTTTGAGGAAAAATTGCAGGAGGGGGATTGCAACTTTAAGTGTGCCACACACACGTCTCATGGAGGTCGCCATCACTCACATGGTTTGATTCCAATTCTGTATTGTGCATTGTTTGCTAATTTGTTGTGTGTATTTTTTGGATAGGGTTAAGTTTTTCTTACTCAGTTCGTGTAACAAGTATAGGTTGTTTTGGAGATGATTTAGTTGTATTGAGGGGATAGAACCCAAAAAGAAAACATTGTCTTGGTATTTATTTTGAATATATGAAACATTATTGTTGTATTTAGTTTGGGGCAGAAATTAAGAAAGAATATTTTGATACGTGTCATAAAAGTTCAAATATAGAATGTTTGGATGACATTATTTATCATGTATTTGATGTTGTGGATATAAAAGAGTTTATACCATAAAGGAAATATAAATGTGCTCCCATATTTTAAGATTCTTTAATGTACATTAGAACAAAAAAAATATCAATTATGTGTATATTCTTAAAATGTTGAAATAGAATAACGTTCGGAAAAAAACTAGTATAAAACTAGAGATAAACTAGTTGGAAAATATAGAACGACAAAAAGAAAACATATTAAAGAGTGAATTAGAGGTTATAAAACAAAACACATAATATATTTTATTAATTTAAAGTGAAAGAGTAAATTATTAAAACCGTATATGTGGTTTGATTAAAATTATACTTTTAGTTTTTATTTATTTATTTATTTTCATTCGGATCATCTCTATGATATATTTTTTTTACAACTTTTGGCCCCGTTAAACATAAAAAGACTATTATACCATTGTATATTTCTTTTTTCATTTATTTATTTTCTTAGAATTATTTTTCTTAATACTTAATCAAGTTGGCCATACCTATCCACACATGACACTCATCATCACCATTGCCCTCACTCTAACGTAATCATTCTTGAACATCTTCTTTCTACCCTTTATTAGTTCGGACAAACACATAAATCTAACAAACACATAGCACCGACAAACACCACATGCCACCATCATCCACCATAACACCTAACACCACCACCACTACCGTCATCCCCTTCTTCTTTCTAACCCATTCATGGACACCTGCAATGTCTCTTCTCTACCAATCATCACCTCCTTCAACCACCACCTCTCACCTCGGTAACCACCACAGACACCCAATCAAATGAAACCAAAACCAAAAGCAAACTTGACGAAAATAGCCATAATAACAAATATAAAAAGAAATATCTAGTAAGGACAAATTAGTTTTTTTATGAATGGCTAATGGTTATGATGAAAATAGGGAAAATGACTCTGGAGGGTAACTAACTGTTGAGTTTGTACTCATTTGGTCAATTTCCTTTTTTTTTTGTACCCAATATACCATCGAACTTGTTATTTGTGTTCACCATAACCCTTTTGACAGGAAAAGGGTTACGAGGAACACAAACAACAAATTCGATGATATATTGGGTACAAAAAAAGGAAATGGACAAAATGTGAACAAATTCAACAGTTAGTTATCTTCGAAAGTCATTTTCTCATAAAAATAATAACAAAAAATATCATAAAGATGGTATCAGTACATTAGAAAAGATAGAGATTCGACTTTTTGACCCAACCACAAAAATAATATAAATATAAAAATGATAATAATAATAATAACTAATAAGGACTAAACATGTAATTTAATGAAGGGATAATGTCACTGTAGCACATGGAACTTTCTTCAATTGGCTAATTTGGTCCTTAAAGTTTTTTTTGGTACATAAGGCCAGTAAACTCGTAAGTGACCTTTTAATGACACCATTTTATCAAGTTTTAGAAGGTTTCCCGGTTACAATGCTTATGTGGCACGCTGATGTGTCCAATAAGCTTACGTGGGAAGCTTATGTGTCGAAGAAGTCCAGTTGTCGATATAGGCTTATTAATTCAAACCCTCATTCGGACCTCCATTAAATCTTTACTTACCCTTCTCTGAAAAGTCAAAGACTTCCCCCTCCCCGACTATTTCCGTCCTGAAGAAGAATGTCTCCGAGCTCATCGACGTCAAGGAATCAACTACAAGTCACTCATGTTCAGTCGCAAGAAGGGGTAAAGGTTTGTGATTGTGTCGTTCCAGCTAAAGAACGAACCTGTTGGAAGATAACAAACCCTGGGAGGCGATTCTGGAATTGTCAAAACAGTATGGTAGGTCCCGATTCTCCTGATTTTGATAAGTTAGTATTTTATGGTTTGATGTGTTGTTTCTTTCTGTAAAGACGATAATGGTGTATTTGTAATTTTGTTTCATCTGTTAAAAACCCTAATTTTATTTGCTTCTTGACGATCACTGTGAATAAAACCCATTTCGTTGGTACATTAAAGGTAGCTGATTTGTGATTGTCAATCAAAC